CAGAACGTACTTATCAGCCTACTATTCAAGGCCCGATTTGCCTAATAAGCCAAGTTTTCATGAATTAATGTTTTTTCGACTACCTAACCTACCTAACCTAACCTAACTTTTTCTGCTACCTAACCGAACCTAACCAATGAAGATAGGTTAGGTTAGGTAGGGTTGGTTAGGTTCGGTCATATATCTACCTTAATTTTAACTCCATTAAAAAAAAATTGACCTCATACATAATGAAATGGGTAGCTTTATCATTTCGTAAGAAAAAAACTAGAGAAAACATATTAATTCATGAAAACTTGGCTTATTAGGCAAATCGGGCCTTGCATTGTAGGCTGATAAGTGCGTTCTGGCTACTAGGTACGACATTATATATATATATATATATATATATATATATATATATATATATATATATATATATAATAAATTATTAATTCATTATATTTGGGGACAGGAAGCCAGAATGTTTTCAGACACGTTAGGCTTATATCGAGGCTTCCACATCCCCTCCCCCTCCCACAGGATGCAACTCCACAAGAAGCTGACTATCTCCTGAGTACCTACTTACTGCTAGGTGAACAGAGGCATTAGGTGAAAGGTAATGTGTGCAACCATTTCTATCCCGCCCGGGATTCGAATTCGACAGGGGTGGTGGCAGGATTGGTGATAGTGGTGGTGGCAGCGGGTGATGGTGGCAGGGGTGGTGGTGGCAGGGGTGGTGGTGGCAGGGGTGGTGGCAGGAATGGTGGTGGCAGGGATGCTGGTGGCAGGAATGGTGGTGGCAGGGATGCTGGTGGCAGGAGTGGTGGTGGCAGGGATGCTGGTGGCACAGGGTGGTGGTGGCAGGGGGTGGTGGCAGCAGCAGCAGCACCAGGGGGGGGGGGTGGTCTCCAACTGGCGCTCTTCAACAAGGCCACAAAGAACAAGAGCCTCCTCACCTATTTCTGGACATTCCACAGTATATTTAGCTCTCTTCATTATTCACACCCTCTCTTGTCTACTCTTGGCCTTGTCTCTTTATCCTCCTCCTTCCTCCTTTATCCTCCTCCTTCCCCCTTTATCCTCCTCCTTCCCCCTTTATCCTCCTCCTTCCTCCTTTATCCTCCTCCTTCCCCCTTTATCCTCCTCCTTCCACCTTTATCCTCCTCCTTCCCCCTTTATCCTCCTCCTTCCCCCTTTATCCTCCTCCTTCCCCCTTTATCCTCCTCCTTCCACCTTTATCCTTCTCCTCTCCCCTTTATCCTCGTCCTCCTCTCCCTCCCCTCTTCCCATCTTCCCCTCGTCACTCATCAACCCTCCGTGAACCTGACAATAACAGGGCGCCATAATATCTTGGCCTCAAGGTGTTGTGGCGGCGTACTCTTGGCTGCTCACACCTTCTCTGCCTCACTGCACCTTGCACAAGCTCTTCAGTCACCTCTCAGAGCGCTCAGTACCTCGCTACACTACAGCTCCCTCACACGGTAGACGACCCGTCCTCACGCTAGGCTGGTTAAAGCAGCGGCCGTCTTCCCCAGACGCATTCGTCAATTTTAACATACTGTCTAGTGAAAATTGATTTGTTTTCGTATTTAAATTATACATATAAATTCTATCTATAGTTAGGCGTGGGTTAGGTTAGGTGTTTAAGCTCTGTTGGCGATTATTTGTATTTGTATTACGTGGGTGAAGCATTTATAGAACTGTGGTTCGAACTGAGGACGTGAGCGAAGCACTTGTTCCGGAAGCGTTCAGACGTCATCAGTTGTGAGTCGTGTGTGTAAACCGCTTTTCATTCATAAACAGGGGGTATGGCGGCTGGATTAACGAACTTGGATCATTGTATGCAAGGACGGGCTGCTGTGGGGGGCCTTCAACCATTTGGACTATTAGGAATCGAACCCCGACTTGCAAGAAACGCGGTCGTTGTTCTATCGACTAATCCCAATCGGATGGACACTGTAGAGGACATTATCCATCGTCTTGTGATCCTCGGTACGGCAACGGTCTCGTTTCTTGCAAGTCGGCGTTCTATCCCCGATGGTCCAATTGGTTGGACACCGTTCCTTCCCTCCATCCTCACATCTCAACTCCTTGTCCTCGTATCCCTTCCAAGTGCTGTAAACTCGTCGTGGCATAGTGCTTTCTCCCAATAATTATCTTACTTTCCTTCTGCGCTTTCTCTTCACTCTCTCTCGCTCATTCTCTCCCTCGCTCTTCACTCTCCCTCGCTCTCCCTCGCTCTCACTCGCTCTCACTCTCCCTCGCTCTTCACTCTCCCTCACTCTCCCTCGCTCTTCACTCTCCCTCGCTCTCCCTCGCTCTCCCTCGCTCTCCCTCGCTCTCCCTCGCTCTCCCTCGCTCTCACTCGCTCTCCCTCGCTCTCACTCGCTCTCACTCTCCCTCGCTCTTCACTCTCCCTCACTCTCCCTCGCTCTTCACTCTCCCTCACTCTCCCTCGCTCTTCACTCTCCCTCACTCTCCCTCGCTCTTCACTCTCCCTCGCTCTCCCTCGCTCTCCCTCGCTCTCACTCGCTCTCACTCGCTCTCACTCTCCCTCGCTCTTCACTCTCCCTCACTCTCCCTCGCTCTTCACTCTCCCTCACTCTCACTTTCACGTAGTGTACGCATTGCGCATGCGTGTATTTACAACAATATTTATATATCATTTAGGAAGCGACACCGTAACTGTGTGTGTACTCAATACAGTGAGTGAGTTGTGCTTACTGAACTACGGTGCCCCACCTCACGCCTGAAGGCACTTACTTTAGCCAGAATACATTAGAGCTTTACACGGGGGCTCTTTCAAACAGTTTAGACAGTCAGAGACGAGAGTTCAATCCTATTGAATAACTCCAACATTTCCTCATAGCTAAATCACGTCATTTTTAAGTATACTGTATTAAGATAAATAATATAAAATTAAATAAGTGTTGACTTAAAAGGTTACTGTGAGAGATATGAAAATACAATATTGATTTGCAATATTTTTAATCACAGAATCAACGTGTATTTCATTAAGTAGAATGGCTACCTTGACGTTACCTGAAGGCTTACCTTAAGGTTACCTGAAGACCCCATGGTACCCTCAAGGCAGTACCAGAAGACTACCTTGATGGTACCATGGGACTACCTTGAGGCTACAGTGATGTTTCCTTGAAGTTGTTATTAAAGAAGCAACTGTTCGAGTCTCTTGGAAAATATATTACAAAAAGCACTGAAAAACTCTATGGGAAGAACACCGAATATTTCAAATTTGACCATGAAAATCGTCTGGAAGGTGGGATTTTCTCCATAAATCCTAGTGTTTCTTAAAGTATTTAACTTAGGCCTGTTGAAGTAGGCCAATGTCCGTCCCGTACCTTATTCTATTTTCCCTGTAAAGTCGGCATATTGACTCAGACAGACTCACAGACAGACACACACAGACATTGTTTCATCATACAGATTGTGGCAATCGAGATAACTATTGGATAATCTCACGTTTGTCCAATAAATGTTTATCAATATTTGATAAACGTTTAGATGTTTAGAATATCTAAATGTTGAATATTCTAAATGTTTAGAATATCACAACGTTACTGACACCAGCTGGGTCCACTGCAGTTAGCTTAGGAGAGTTATCAGGAGAGAGCGCCAAACCGTTACGACTACATAGCACCTGAAGGGATCAGGATAAGGATGTGGGATGGGTGTCAGACGTCAAGTGTCAGACGAGTTCCGGTCTCGTCTGACACGCGTGAAAATAGAGTCCAAGGCTGCTATAGCTTCCTGAGTCTACTCCTTGTAACATTGAGGTGATTACCCGTCTAACGAAAGGCGATCGTCTAGTTCCATTGCCTCTTGTGGAGATGAAATTCAGGCTTTCAGGATTTTCAATTCAGGCTTCAGGAGACGACATTCAGCCACCACCACAAATGTTGAACATAAAAGGTAAGACTTGTACCCATCAGAATATGACCACTTGTCTTGTACCCATCAGAATATGACCACTTGTCTTGTACCCATCAGAATATGACCACTTGTCTTGTACCCATCAGAATATGACCACTTGTCTTGTACCCATCAGAATATGACCCCTTGTCTTGTACCCATCAGAATATGACCACTTGTCTTGTACCCATCAGAATATGACCACTTGTCTTGTACCCATCAGAATATGACCACTTGTCTTGTACCCATCAGAATATGACCACTTGTCTTGTTAACCAGATGGCTGTCGAGAGTAGCACTTTTCTGTTGCATGGACGAACACTTTGTCATTCTTGCACTAAACGCTTTGTTGCATGGCGTTAAGAGTGGGGTCCTCTGGTGACTTTTGTCGCTTATTATCCGCAAGCTCACGAGTCCTACAGACCTCTAATGTTAACTCTTGCGTTGTGTGTGTGTGTGTGTGTGTGTGTGTGTGTGTGTGTGTGTGTGTGTGTGTGTGTGTGTGTGTGTGTGTGTGTGTGTGTGTGTGTTCCACAACTCTGTCTAACGTGGCCTTCGATATGTATGTTAAGCGTCCTGCCACTTTTTACGGGCTCACCATAGCCCGTGCTACATAGACACTTCGTTCTGAGTAGCTAAATCTAAAACAACAACAACAACAACAACACTCGAATGTGTTATTGTATTGTGTATGATTGTGTGAGTGTGTCGGGGGTGGGGGGAGGGGGGTGATCACAGTATTGTCTGTGATTGTTGAGCATGTTCACTACAGGTTATTCTCGGTTATTTTACGAAGGTTCTCCTATCTCAATATTTTTATGTGTTAAATTCTTTAGAGTTCCTGTTATGTGGCTAAAATCCTGGTGTTCCTGCCCCTGTACACCTGTCCCTCCCACACCTGTCCCCCACACACCCTCCCCTCCCACACCTGTCCCTCCCACATCCTCCCCTCCCACACCTGTCCCTCCCACACCTGTCCCCCACACACCCTCCCCACACCTGTCCCTCCCACACCTGTCCCTCCCACACCTGTCCCTCCCACACCTACCCCCACTAGCATAACAGTGACGAGGTGTGGTTCTCTGCAGGGCCGGAACACGTGGTCGTCCGTGACGGGACGGGTGGTGACCCTGGAGACCTCCAGCCTCCTGCAGCTGACCGAGCTGGAGCGACTCACCGTCCAGCAGCTGGCCATCGCCAAGCTTCAAGCCCTCAACCTGGGCTGTCACATCCGGCTCCCCAGAGGTGAGTGCAGACAGCCAGGCAGGCAAAAGGGAGGGATGCAAGCGAGGTGGGAGGGAGATAGAGGGAGGGATCGGAAGGAGGGTAGGGGAGGGAAATGAGAGACGTTGGATGGTATAAGCAATGTCCATATAAACACGCAATATAATGTACAAGTTTAGATTCAGGAAAGACCAGGGTAAATACTGGGTTTTTGGGAGCAGGGTTATTGATATAAGGATTTCCTGGTGAGATAAAGAGCCGTGAGATCCTACGACGATTTCATATTATCTCTCTGAAGGTTAGGTTAGGTTATGAGCGCCGGTGGAGGTCAATAGTAGCGGCCTATTATGGGTCAATAGGTCTTCCGCTCCAGTTATGAGTTCTTATGTTCTTCAAACCAAACGTGTTTCGTTCAAGAAATATTTCGACTCCGTTTTGAGCTGATAATTGACCCCAACGATTATTGTACAGGAGGAATTACCTCAACTTGACTTTGGATTAATTGATATACAGAGAATGTACACGTCGCCGGTGTACATTCATGGGAGCCGGTCGGCCGAGCGGACAGCACGCTGGACTTGTGATCCTGTGGTCCCGGGTTCGATTCCGGGCGCCGGCGAGAAACAATGGGCAGAGTTTCTTTCACCCTATGTCCCTGTTACCTAGCAGTAAAATAGGTACCTGGGTGTTAGTCAGCTGTCACGGGCTGCTTCCTGGGGGTGAAGGCCTGGTCGAGGACCGGGCCGCGGGGACACTAAAGCCCCGAAATCATCTCAAGATAACGTCGCTCTTGAGGGGAACTTAAGTCTCATTAAAGATTGACTTAGGAATGACCATTAGCAAGTTTCTCCTCTCAAGCTGAAACAAAAAGATCGGATATATGTGTCATTTTACATTTCACTGAGAATTTAAGTTTAAATCTGTGTTACTGACCTTTAGAGTAGACCATTGACCTGTGGTGACCTGACCTTGCAGACGGAGGGGAGGTCAAGCTCCTGGGCTCCGAGGTTGCCGGCGACGCTGCAAAGCTTGATAACATGAGGTCAAATTTGCCCCCCCCCCTTTGTTTACCTTCCGGCAACTGTCCTCTGAGGTCACCCCCCCCCCCTCATGCTGGTCCACCACTGGTCCACCCCATCATGCTGGCCCACCACTGGTCCACCCCATCATGCTGGCCCACCACTGGTCCACCCCATCATGCTGGCCCACCACTGGTCCACCCCATCATGCTGGCCCACCACTGGTCCACCCCATCATGCTGGTCCACCACTGGTCCACCCCCTCATGCTGGTCCACCACTGGTCCACCCCATCATGCTGGCCCACCACTGGTCCACCCCATCCCTCAGTCTGGCACTGAATCTCACATGTGGCTACACTGTGACGTGACGGTAATCATCATACCTCGGACATCCACGCCACTCAGGAATCACTCTTGCCATATCAGCGCCATCAGCAGCTCAGCGCTCCCCCCTGGCTCCTCCTGAGTGGCCATAACCACCAAAGCCTGCAGTGTGTGGCTGATGCTAGCACGGCTCTCTGTTTACCACCAGGCGGGTACGCCCAAAACACGTGAGGTAGAACCAATATACAGGACATTCTTGCGGTTATGTCATGTGTGATTTGCGTATGAAAGCAGGCTCTGTGTGCTAATTTCAGAGCAGTGTTGACGCCACTGCTGAACGCTGGTGATGGGCAGAAAGCTGAATTTGCCACAGTGGACATTTTTAAGCCTGTGTGTCGAGTGCGTTAACAACCCAACTATCGTTACATAATCGGTTGATTTGGTATGCTGCGTTAATATGGCTGACATACACGTCCTGTATGTTTCATTGTGGACTTTGGCAGCTTTCGCTACATTTAGCTCTTTAGTGTTAGAAATAGCAAACTCCAGCTAACATGAAGCTGGATTTTAATCCCAGGAGCATCTCTTATCATTCACATCTTGTATGTTCATTTTAGTATGGAGTAATTATGAACTATTTTAGTGTTCGCAAAATGTAACCATGGCATGTGTTAACTTATTATTCAACCCATTCCCTTGACTTGCCACTCCGTAACAAATCCAACCGTTTAGTCTAACCAGAAACATACGAGCCCAAGCAACCCACCTAACGTATCGAGCCCGATATATTGGCAATGCAAATATTTGAAAGCCGTTACTGTTCTTAGTAGGTTCCATTTGTAACGTTTATGACACCGTAAGAAACGCGACTTATTAGTTGAGACGGAAGCGTTGAAATCAGCTTCCTACAGCAGGAATGGATCTGAAATAGATTGATGTATAGTATTGTATACGGTGTTAGTACAGCTTGGTACTGTACCGGGTGGGACACGTCATGGTTCAGCACGAGTCCCGGCACTAAAAGAGCTGTCTTACAGTTAGCTGTAACTAGTTATACAGTTAGCTGACTGTACCAACGAGGGAACTGAACTGACAACCCTTTGAGAGAGAGAGTCAGGGAGGTGGCCAGGCACCCGAGCCTCACCACCTGCTCACCCCAACATTCTTCAGCACGAGCGCCCTCAGCATGCAACCAGCTCTCGCACAAGACAGTACATATATGACTTATTGCTTATAGTCACTATTTGGCTGATTGATAAGTACATATGTGGTATATGCCAAGTTATATTTTGTTTTTTAAAGTACAAACTTTTAAAGACAGTTTTGCTAAACACCAGTTTTAATATAAGGAATTTCGTTTTCAGTTTTATTAAACAATAGAGATTTTATACAATATTTGACTATATCCTGAGATGCTTTACAATTTATTTAAATATTTTGGTTGTGTTTTATTATTTTAATAAAACCGTAACCTGACCTGGTTACAAATGTAACGAAGCTGAAGAAGATTCAGGATTGTTACTCAACGTCTTCGAGAGAAAACAGGGTAGATAAGATCACGACATAAAAAATACTCAGAGCTAGCCAGGAGGAGGAGGAGACAAGGATAGAAACTAATGGCTGATGTAATATTTCTTCAGTATAAAGTAGGAAGTAGATACCTTCCTTGTACTTCTATGGATTAAAAGTAGATTACAGAAGCATTAGAAGTAGATTGCAACGCTGTATCAATGTAACTATAACATTGTGTGTGTGTGTGTGTGTGTGTGTGTGTGTGTGTGTGTGTGTGTGTGTGTGATGGGGGGGGAGGGGTCCGAGGCGGGACCCAGGAGCTAAAGCGACTTAGTCCCCCCTGGTGACAGAGGAGTACAGACATAGGTTAGTAAATACATTCTGGTCAATATTAGTGTGTTGCTCCTCTGTCTCCCTTAGTACATGGTGACCCCTGACCTCTTGTGACCCCTGGTGTAGCCCCCACCACTGATCATGACCCCTGGTGTAGCCCCCCACCACTGACCACGACCCCTGGTGTAGCCCCCACCACTGACCGTGACCCCTGGTGTAGCCCCCACCACTGACCACGACCCCTGGTGTAGCCCCCACCACTGACCACGACCCCTGGTGTAGCCCCCACCACTGATCACGACCCCTGGTGTAGCCCCCACCACTGATCATGACCCCTGGTGTAGCCCCCCACCACTGACCGTGACCCCTGGTGTAGCCCCCACCACTGACCGCGACCCCTGGTGTAGCCCCCACCACTGACCGTGACCCCTGGTGTAGCCCCCACCACTGACCGTGACCCCTGGTGTAGCCCCCACCACTGACCGTGACCCCTGGTGTAGCCCCCACCATTGACAGTGACCCCTGGTATAGCCCCCACCACTGACCGTGACCCCTGGTGTAGCCCCCACCACTGACCACGACCCCTGGTGTAGCCCCCACCACTGACCACGACCCCTGGTGTAGCCCCCACCACTGACCACGACCCCTGGTGTAGCCCCCCACCACTGACCGTGACCCCTGGTGTAGCCCCCCACCACTGACCGTGACCCCTGGTGTAGCCCCCACCACTGACCGTGACCCCTGGTGTAGCCCCCACCACTGACAGTGACCCCTGGTGTAGCCCCCACCACTGACCGTGACCCCCTGGTGTAGCCCCCACCACTGACCACGACCCCTGGTGTAGCCCCCACCACTGACCACGACCCCTGGTGTAGCCCCCACCATTGACCACGACCCTTGGTGTAGCCCCCACCATTGACCACGACCCCTGGTGTAGCCCCCACCACTGACCACGACCCCTGGTGTAGCCCCCACCACTGACCACGACCCCTGGTGTAGCCCCCACCATTGACCACGACCTCTCCTGCCCTCAGAACACAGCGCCGGGGCGGTACAGAAGAAGAGACGACCTTACCTCCTCAAGCGGAAGGCGCTGACGACCGGGTTCTTCGACTCCAAGAAGGACGACTCGAAAGGTGAGGCGCATGATTTACCTGTGGGTGGTTCTCTGGGTTGTTCTGTGGCTTGCATGTACCTGTGCTGTACCTGTGGCATGTGAAGTTTATATAATACATTTCGTGTATCTTGTACTACTCCGGGCTATGTCACGTGTATCAGTCGCTTCTGGCTAGCGCCACCCAACTTTGCACAGTAATTGCAGGAGGGTAGATGACCAACATGTTGTTGGCTCCCCACAGAGCCGCTCCCTCCTCCTCCATCCCCCAACTTTAGTTCTACTGGAGTCTCGACGGGGAATGAGTAGGTGAGAAAAGTGAATGAATAACCTGTACACGAAGACCATAGTGCTCCTCTCCTTTCTCTCTTCTGAGTCTGTCTCTCTCTCTGTCTGTCTCTTTTTCTCTCTCTCTCTCTCTCTCACACCTCTCTCTCTCTCTCACCTCTCTCTCCCCTTTCTCTCTCTCACCTCTCTCTCCCCTCTCTCTTCTCTCACCTCTCTCTCCCCTCTCTCTTCTCTCTCATTCACTCAGTATTATTGTAGTAATTAATGTGGCCGAGATTGTGGCTGCTTATTCTATGTTAAGGACGGCGTCTTCTGTTTGCGGTACAACTGCGGCTGTTGTTGTCTGGAGTGATGAGGCTGGTCATGGGGATGATTTCTCATCAATAGCGCAGCTGAAGAGTAGTTATGCAGCCAATCAGCTGAAAATGATGAATTAACGAGGGTTCGGTCCGTCCTGGACTTGATGACGGCCGCTGGACTTGATGACGGCCGCTGGACTTGATCTTAAGAGTTGTGCTTTGTGCGTCTGTGTTCTTATCTTGTCTTACAAAGTATTTTCCCCTCCATGGGCTCTATTATTCCCTCCATGGGCTCTATTATTCCCTCCACGGGCTCTATTATTCCCTCCACGGGCTCTCTTATTCCCTCCACGGGCTCTATTATTCTCTCCGTGGGCTCTCTTATTCCCTCCACGGGCTCTATTATTCCCTCCACGGGCTCTCTTATTCCCTCCACGGGCTCTATTATTCTCTCCGTGGGCTCTCTTATTCCCTCCACGGGCTCTATTATTCTCTCCGTGGGCTCTCTTATTCCCTCCACGGGCTGTATTATTCTCTCCGTGGGCTCTATTATTCCCTCCACGGGCTCTATTATTCCCTCCACGGGCTCTATTATTCCCTCCACGGGCTCTATTATTCCCTCCGTGGGCTCTATTATTGTTACTATTGTTAGTGGCGAGTAATTTAGAGCCTCTTGCTTGTCTTCTATTATTTTTTAATATTAGGACTACTGTTGACATTCTGGCTCTCCTGTCTTGTGTGTTTTATGTATAATATTTATAGTTAGTACATGGAAAGCACACCCATCCCCCCCCTCCTCTCTCCTCCAGCAGCCATAGTTTCTCACAAAGCTCTTTGTCGTTTTCTGAGAGAATTCCCTCTCATCGCTTTAACCTGATCACGTGGTCTATTGTTTGTTTTTATCTCGTGTGGCTATATGATTTGTGTTCCTCAGCTTTAGCTGCTACGGTGGTGGTGGTAGTGGTAGATGTGGTAGTGGTAGATGTTGTAGTGGTAGATGTGGTAGTGGTAGATGTTGTAGTGGTAGATGTGGTAGATGTAGAGGTGGCTGTGGTGGTAGTGGTGAGCCAGAGAGTAAGAGAGGACACAATTAAGAGGGTGCCAGTGGTCTACAGCCGCAGTGCCTCAGCTGGTCCCGCCACCAGTGCCAGCCCTCCTCTACCATTTGTGTACACACACATTCCACACACATGCACACATACCTGGCAATACTCCTATCCTTCTGGCACTAAACTACACACACACACGTGTGTATATCATATGTTTCAAGAGTAGAGGACTAGTTCGTTATATGGGGGCTGCGGGTGAGGCACTCCGGGGGGGGGGGGTGAGGCACTCGAGGGGGAGGGGGAGGCACTCGTGGGGGGGGGGGGGGCTGGGCAAGTGTCATACTACAAATATAAATGTAGACAACAATGCCGGGACTCGAACGCTGGTCCACGTAATTACCGTCCCTACACGCTATCAGTCCCATCAAACCATCCGGTTAAACGAGGCAGAACCGGAAAATCCTTTTTTTACCCGGCTCTACCAGGCACTGAGAGAGAGAGAGAGAGAGAGAGAGAGAGAGAGAGAGAGAGAGAGAGAGAGGAGAGAGAGAGAGGGGGAGAGAGAGAGAGAGGGAGAGAGAGGAGAGGGAGAGAGAGAGAGAGAGAGAGAGAGAGAGAGAGAGAGAGAGGGAGAGAGAGAGGGAGGAGAGAGAGAGAGAGAGAGAGGGAGAGAGAGAGAGAGAGAGAGAGGAGAGAGAGAGAGGGGGAGAGAGAGAGGGGGAGGAGAGAGGGAGGGGGAGAGAGGAGGGGGAGAGAGGGAGGGGGAGAGAGGGAGGGAGAGAGAGAGAGAGGGGGGGGAGAGGGGGGAGAGAGGAGAGGGGGAGAGAGAGGGGGAGAGAGGGGGAGAGAGGGGAGAGAGGGAGGGGGAGAGAGGGAGAGAGAGAGAGAGAGGGGGGGAGAGGGAGAGGGAGAGAGGGGGGAGAGAGGGGGAGAGGGGGAGAGAGGGGGAGAGAGGGGGAGGTGAGGGGGAGGGGGGGGAGAGGGGGAGGGGGGGAGAGAGGGGGAGGGGGGGAGAGAGGGGGAGGGGGGGAGAGAGGGGGAGGGGGGGGGGAGAGAGAGAGGGGAGAGGGGGGGAGAGGGGGGGAGAGAGGGGGAGAGGGAGAGGGGGGGAGAGAGAGGGAGAGGGGGGGAGAGAGAGGGAGAGGGGGGGGGGAGTGTGGAGGAGGTAAGACAGACAGACACCAAGACGTTCCCCGGCGCAACAGAGCGTCTTAATCACCGTCACCGGGTTAGTCCTCGATGGATTCCTCTCTTGGTTTGGCACACTTGTCCCTCCCACGGTGAGATTTGGCAACGGCGCAACTACCTCGTGATGGTCAGGTGAGGGAGGGGAGGTAGTGGTCAGGTGAGGGGGGGGGGAGGTAGTGGTCAGGTGAGGGGGGGGAGGTAGTGGTCAGGTGAGGGGGGAGGGGAGGAAGTGGTCAGGTGAGGGGGAGAGGGAGGTAGTGGTCAGGTGAGGGGGGAGGGGGAGGTAGTGGTCAGGTGAGGGGGGAGGGGGAGGTAGTGGTCAGGTGATGGGGGAGGGGGAGGTAGTGGTCAGGTGAGGGGGGGGAGGTAGTGGTCAGGTGAGGGGGGGGAGGTAGTGGTCAGGTGAGGGGGGGGGAGGTAGTGGTCAGGTGAGGGGGGGGGGAGGTAGTGGTCAGTTGAGGGGGGGGGAGGTAGTGGTCAGGTGAGGGGGGGGAGGTAGTGGTCAGGTGAGGGGGGGGAGGGGGAGGTCAGGTGAGGGGGGGGGAGGTAGTGGTCAGGTGAGGGGGGGGAGGTAGTGGTCATGTGAGGGGGGGGGGAGGTAGTGGTCATGTGAGGGGGGGGAGGTAGTGGTCAGGTGAGGGGGTGGGGAGGTAGTGGTCAGGTGAGGGGGGGGAGGTAGTGGTCATGTGAGGGGGGGGAGGTAGTGGTCAGGTGAGGGGGGGGGGGGGAAGATAACACCTTCCAGTTCCAGGTTGGTAACATAAACAAAGGCCAGTACTGTATGTTGGTGTTATAGATTCAGCTACTCGGAACAGGTTCCAAGTAGCACGGGCTATGGTGAGCCCGTAGTGGAGCTGGTAGGTCTCTCTCCACCATACACTGCCGCGAACAAGAACCAAGAGTGGCAACGGTTTTGGTCGATGTACTGAACCCTTATCAAGCCAGGCGTTGCTCCCATTCCATACGTGTAGGGTGTCGGATTATTTGTCTCAGCTGCCACATTGTGGCTTTCCCTGCGTATACTCTTCCACCTGAATGTGGAAAACTTTACGAGAGAGAAAGGAAAGGAAAGGAGATCCTTCCATGTGAAAGGCTCGTGGTTGGGTTGTCGATATACCACTTTTCTATAAGACTAAGAGTGATAATGCCTCTATTTGTCATTATTTACGATTTTTATATTTCCTTTCATCTTTTACATTCCGTTATTTACCGTTAATAATCCCTAATTACCCGTCATTCTTCTGGCTGGAACATGGTTTAATATATGCAGATAATTCAATACCCCCGTAACTCCTGCAGATGGCGTGGAAGGGGGAATGGTGTTCGGGCTGCCGCTCGCCAAGTGCCTGGAGAACGAGCGGAGCCGCAGCAGGGAAGCGGCAGAGAGGGCCACAGCCGCAGCCATCGCCGCAGCCGCTACCTCGGCCGCTATGGGTATACAGGCCGAAGAGGTCGAGCCTTCCTTCAGTCGCAAGACCTCGCGCGCGGGCTCCCACGCCTCCTTCTCTTCTCTCATCGAAGGCGCAAAACAGGCGAGTTCCAGGACTGCATGGCTCTTCCGTGTCCCGGACCTGGGTGTTCCAGGTCCAGAACTAGGCAGATAAAATTTCAATACTAGGCTTTTCCAACTCTAGAATAAGACACTTCTAGTTCCAGGACTAATCTCTTCCAGGACTAATCTCTAATCTCTGAACTGGAAGAGCTTAGTCTAGTAACTACTAGACTAAGCTCTTCCAGTTCATGGACTAGGCTGTTCCAGTTTATGGACTACCTTGTTTCAGCACAAGGTTTTCTAGTTCAGAGACAACGTTGATTGCATTCCAGAACAAGGCTGTTCCATTTCAAGCACTAGGTTCTTCCAATTTTAGAACTAAGTTCTTCTTGTTCCAAACATTGGCTTTTCCAGTTCCAAAACAAGGGTCTTTCATTTCCAGAAACACAGTAATCCAGTTCCAGGACTAGACTGTTCCAATTCAAGAACTAGGCTATTCTAGTTTTAGAATTAGGGTCTTTCAGTTCAAGAAAAGGAATTAAAACTCATTTCAGGTTACCAGACAATATAATAATAGATGATTGTTGCCTTTAGAAGTTATATATATCTAAATTAAAAATATATTTAAATAGACCAGGACACTGAAGGTCTTGACAGGGACAGGTAGCCGGCGGCTCATCAGTTTTTTCTGACATTTGTTAGAGCTTCTCCAGAACGTTGGTTATTGGTCTCAAGCATTTGATCTCACCAGTCCTGAGTATTGTTTATTTCATACCAGAAATGTTGAATGAGCAACAAAAATTGGCATATGATTAGAGACTGGGCCGCGAGAAACAGTGATTCCAGGAACCATCACAAGGTAAACACAGTACCATTGTTACCAACCGTCCTGTGTCTTCAAGGAATATGATTGCTACTGCTAGCGTCTCATGTTGACAAGGTAGTGTGTGTACCTTGATGTTACCTTGAGGTAGTTCTGAAGTTCAGCGGCCCGGTCTCTGAGCAGTGCCTGGTCAACCAGGCTGTTAGACGCCCCTGCTCGCAGTCTGACGTATGAGTCACAGTCCGGTTGATCAGGTATCCTTGATTGGAAGTGTTTAGATTAACTTTTAAACACCGTGAAAGGTCGGTTAGTTATGCCCCTTATGTGTATTGACACGGCCCCTTAACAAACAATATATCCAGCACGTTTACCAACGTTATTATAGGCAGCTGCAAATTACAAATGACGTTCTGGCGACGTTTTGTGTCTGCTTGGCTGCAGGTGTTGAAAAGTGTTTCGTGTGTGTTGCAACACGTGCCGCTGCAACAGTGTGTTTCCTCTCAACAGTCGTCGACGGGTTCGTTGGAGAGTCTCAACTTGGAGAGGAAGAGACCGAGTCTGGTGGGGGCGGACCTGTTACCTCCCGGGCCGCCCACGCCGGACCTCCTGACGGTGGAGCCCAGCCCGCAGATCCCTGGCCTCGTCACCATGTGCTTCAGACACCTCGAGACCAACGGCATGCACACCCTCGGCATCTTCAGGGTGTCGTCCTCCAAGAAGCGGGTCAGACAGGTGGGTCAAGCTCGTCCTCCACAGGGACGGACCGGACGGCTGAGAGATTAGTGTTACTTGTTACCTTACTCGTGTCCCCGTTCAGGGCACCATTTAAGGCTTATGGTTTTCTCCGCAGCTGCGTGAGGAGTTCGACAGTGGGCGGGAGGTGTGGCTGAGCGCCGACCATTGCCCGCACGACGTGGCTACTCTCCTGAAGGAGTTCTTCAGGGACCTCCCGGAGCCGCTGTTGACCAGGGAGCTCTACGAACCCTTCATCAAGACACAAAGTAAGCACCTGAGCACCTGCGCCACGCGCCACCAGAGGCCGCCACAACCACACACTTCATTTGTGTCGAGGTCGTGACGAATCAATACGATTCTGGTTAGACGTAAAACATACTTGCGTGTTTTTTATTTGAAACGCATTTCTATGGCAGTGTGATACGATGTGTGTGTCGTACCTAATAGCCAGAACGCACTACTCGGCCAGGCCCGATTTGCCTAATAGGCTGAGTGATTTTCATTATTTTCAAAAAAAAATCCAATTGCTTTATATGAATTAATATTATTATATTAAGAACATGAATACAGACTTAGTTATGTTAGTTTAGGTTAAGTTAAGAGGTTAGGTTAGGTAGGTTTAGTCATATTTCTAAGTTAATTGTAACTCAAATTAAACAAAATTTAATCATATATGATATAATTGAAAGCTTTATCATTTCATAAGAAAAAAATGGGAAATATATGACTTAAGGAAAACTTGGCTTATTAGGCAAATCATACCTTGTATAGTAGGCCAAATAGTAAGTTCTGGCTACTAGGTACAACATTATATATATACATATATATATAATTTGTATTCCTGGGAAGGCAATGAGGAGGAGCTGCCCTCACAGGTGGCCCCTCACAGGTGGCCCAGGTAGTGGCAAGATCAATATATACCTTAATATCCAATCTTCTGAGATTGTATCCCTATATCATGAAAGTGTAAAGATAATTATTGGTTTATTAATGACGTTACACATGAAGCTTTAGTTCTCATTAAGCTTGCATATGCTGCTAACAAGCTGTTTATTATTGGGCGAGGAAAATGGAGAAAGTATTGACACAATCTTTAGAGCTTGATTGTTCTTCCACGTGAGGATTGTTTTATTTGCCATAATTTGAAATTTGTGTGTGTGTGTGTTTCTTGGTGCGTCGGCAGAGATCCGCAACCGGAGACTGCAGTTTGAGGCGCTGCAACACCTCATTCAACTGATGCCAGCTGCCAATCGCGACACCCTCTACTCCCTCCTGAACTTCCTGGCCATCGTGGCTGAGAATGCTGGCGACCAACAGACTAGTACTGGTTAGTAAATGAACAAATCCACAAGGGCCGTGACGAGGATTCGAACCTGCATCCGGGAGCATCCCAGACACTGACACTGGTGCAGGGGGGGGGGGGAGGGTTGTGTAAAAGCTTGGTTTGTGCCTCGGAGAGGCTACGGAGATCCAGTAAGTTCAGTCGAACTTCGGTTTCAACCCTTTTACCCTGTCGTAGCTCAGTCGATTAAGGCAGTGTCTGGGATGCTCCCGGACGCAGGTTCGAATCCTCGTCACGGCCCTTGTGGATTTGTTCATTTGATGCATCACGTTAGTGTGATCTCTGTGTGTGTACTGGTTAGTACCCCCGTGCAACACCAGGCGGCGGGGGGGCATACCACTGTGTGTTGTTTATGTACGTTGCTTATTCCTCTTGGGGGTTATATGAGAGACTTTATACATTGGGAATTCATTGTTGTTGTTAAGATTCGCTCCTTGGAACAAAAAGTTCCAAATAGCGCGGGCTATGGTGAACCCGTAGTGGACTTTTTTCTTAATTCAGTGTTTTGCTGAATTAGCGATGTATAATCCTCAGTGCATCCAGATGGTAGGGGAAGGGTGGGGGGGGGGGGGGTTAGAGGTATCCCTGGAGGCTATCACTGTGGGATGGGCCCCACAGGCTATCACTGTGGGATGGGCCCCACAGGCTATCACTGTGGGATGGGCCCCACAGGCTATCACTGTGGGATGGGCCCCACAGGCTATCACTGTGGGATGGGCCCCACAGGCTATCACTGTGGGATGGGCCCCACAGGCTATCACTGTGGGATGGACCCCACAGGCTATCACTGTGGGATGGGGCCCACAGGCTATCACTGTGGGATGGGCCCCACAGGCTATCACTGTGGGATGGACCCCACAGGCTATCACTGTGGGATGGACCACATGGAAGAGGATTTGGGTATGTATGTGTATTTACTATTTGCATTTATTCTTGGTGCCGGTAGGACTGAGCTCTTGGACCCCGCCTTTCTAACCGTCGGTTGTCTAATGCACCGATTCCCGATCTATTTTTCTGACATGTCTAAAACATATATTTCTCTTTAACACACACACATCCCCCAGGATGCAGATGGCCAACTCCCAGATACCCAGGTGAACATGAGAATCGGATGAAAGAAACTACCCATTCGTTTCTAATTCGGCCGGGAGTCAACCCCGGCCCCTTAGAAATACAACCCACTAGTCCTATCTGTTCAAACTTTGTGTGTGTGTGTGTGTTTATTTTTAACAAATACAACTTTATTTAAGACATATTATAAAAGCATAAAATAAGGTAAAACCATTTTTTGAGTTAAGAACATAAGAATAAAGGTAACTGCAGAAGGCCTATTGGCCCATACGATGCAGCTCCTAATTATAACCACCCAATCCCACTCATATAAATGTCCAACCCGCGCTTGAAACAATCAAGGAGACCCCGCACCTCGTTATTATTATTCCTGTCACCTGTACCGCGTCATGTTAAAACATGTCGCTTGTCTTTCCTCTGTACTTACTCACCCGCTGGTTACAGGAGAGACCATACAAGGGAACAAGATGGACAGCAGTAACTTGGCAACTCTCTTCGCGCCGAACATCCTTCACTCGGTCAAGCCCGGCACGGAGCCCATGTCCAGCACGGAGATGGCCACGCACGCCGAGGAGCGCATAGAGGTCATCAATGTGGTCAGGAGCATGATTGACCACAACAAGCACCTGTTTGAGGCAAGTGGAACCCTTGTTCGAGGCTCCGGTTGTGAACTTTGCGGCCCCTGTTGTCTATGGAGTCAACTGAGAGGTCATTTAACTCATTCACTTATTTACTCTTGTACGCATTCACGCATTCACTCACGTCCGAAAGCCGTCTACTGCAAAAACGGTAAAATTCTGTTTAAAAAAAAACAAAACGGTAGAGTTCCTAGTCAAATATTTAATCATTTTAAATTACAATTTAATATATTTATAATATACTGTATTAATATCATTTTTTTAGAATCGTACAGAAAGATATGATAAAGCACAGGTATGCGTTGTATACTAAGTATAATTATCTTTATGGACGTTTTATTTACAAATACCAATGATGAACAAGTGCGCTATTTCACTCCTCAAGAGTGCAAGCGACGGCTGCTTGCCGAGTAGGGTCTAGAACCTGTGCTGACATGACCACTCTCACGTCATAGTGACGTCACACCTCTACTACACGAAACACGATTTTGCATGTTCTATTTTACGTTAGCTAAGGATAGGATAGGTTGGGTTAGGTTAGGATAGTCTTGGTTAGGCTGTGTTTGGTTAAAGAGTATAGCCATGACGTAGAGGGTTACAGACTTTGCCTCAGGTGTTAGACCCTTCTCGTCTTAACACAGGTGTTCTTAACACGGGTGTTTTTAACACAGGTGTCAGCTGAGCTGCTGGACGAGACCTACCAACACCTGATGGATACACACCCAGAGTCTCTGGACCTCCTGTTGAGACGTCGCTTCACAGGACCTGATGAGTAAGTCTTCGAGGAGGAGGAGGAGGAGGAAGGAAGGGGGGAGAGGCACCTTTTCCTCATGAACGAACCTCTTCCCTCCCACCTCTCCCTCCCCCCCCCCTTCGTCTGTGGGCCTATAAAAACTGCTATAAAACGTTTTCCCAACGTTCATTCTTTCTAGCGTCATTGGCCACGAAGGTGAACCAAAAATAAAACAAAATAAAAACGCATCGAAGACGTTCCCCTGGAAAAAGAGGCATATGAACGTTGTCACAATGTCCGAGACGGACGTTGAAGCAACGTCTGCACTGCAATGTTAATTGTGCCGGCTGGGAGCGTTTGTGTGTTCGTTACCATGTAGGGTGAGTTAGACTGGGTAGCGGAGCGTGTGAATACCGTATGACTTCATCTGTCTGTGTGTTCTCAGGTCTCGGAAATATTAATTCCGGCGAGGGGTGTGGTTTCTGGCTCTTAAGATTATGGGAAGGGGGGCGGCGGAGGGAGGTAGGGAGGGGGGGTGGGGGGTAGTCTTATTCAACGAAGACTTCATTTTGCCTCTTTTGTTGTTGCTTCGAGCTAATGAGGGTTTCATGTGATGAATGTATTGGGAGCTATGATGAATGAGTTCTGGTAACGCTGGTTTGATTAGTATATATATATGTGCCAGGCTTACTAACCGTATCTGGCACGGGAGACATCTCCCGTCACGCAGGGTGCAGTCGCATCTCCCCAGATCTCCAGTATCAGCTCTTGATACTGGTAATGGCTCAAAAGGGGATACCACTTACGGGATATTCATGCCCGTGCCACCTTTTGGGTGGCTTAATCTTCATCAATCAATCACCGTATCTGGCAACAGCAATGCGGTAATGCTAACCTTTTCTGGTAACACTGATGTGTGCTGTTGCCACACCTTGTATGGCAACAGTGTGTGTGTGGGGGGGGGGGGGGGCTGGAAGACCAGTGAGCTCAGGTGGGATGATCTTAAGTGTACTCATAATGATCTTCTAGTTCATTATTCACCTAAATGTGCTTACAGGTTTACTGTTTTCATATTATATGTTCTCCTTCCAACCACCATTCCTTACCTCCCTCCTCAACCACAACCACTACCACAGCCACAACCACCACCACCACAGCCACCACCACCACCACCACAGCCACCACCACCACCACAGCCACCACCACCACCACAGCCACCACCACCACCACAGCCACCACCACCACCACAGCCACCACCACCACCACAGCCACCACCACCACCACAGCCACCACCACCACAGCCACCACCACCACACTCACCACCACCACACTCACCATCACCACAACTACTACCACAACTACCACCACCACCACACCCACCACCACCACCACACCCACCACCCACCACCACACCCACCACCACAACCATGGACAGTACCAGCTTAAGAATGCCCTAAACCTGTGACGAGGTAAATCCCTCTGGCTTGATCAAGAACATAATTTTAGACTCTCACGAGACTCGATCTGCTCGTGTCTAAGCGCCCTTTTTTTTTGTTTGCCTCATAATTCTAAGCCATTAATTCATAGTTCTAAGCCATCACCTCACAATTCTAAGCTCCTCGCCTCATAAGTATGCGTTCAGCTCAGCGAACATGTGCCATGTGATTACTAGTTATCCATAACAGATTATCAGTTATCCATAACAGATTACCAGTTATCCGTAGATCAGAAAAATGTATGTTGACGATGAATCTGACATTCATCAATGTTGAAAGCAGCATCAACATCACCAAAGTTATGATGATCTGCTCTAATGGTTCTTGTGCTTCATCTCCATCGTCTTCAACTGGTCGGTACAGTGTTAGCCTCGACTCTTGCAAGGCTGTCGTTCAATTCCCCGATTGGTCCAGTTAAGTGGTTGAGCATCGTTCCTTCACTCCTTGTCCTCGTATCCCAGCTCTTTGTCCTCGTATCCCAGCTCTTTGTCCTCGTATCCCAGCTCCTTGTCCTCCATAAATCTTTCTCCTTGTCTCGTGTCAGTAAGGGGCCAATATTGGCCTGGCCCGTCCACTCATGCTGACCAAACTTGTTGACCATCAACATTAACATTTCTGACCACATTAACATCGCAAACTCAAGTTTATATATCTATACAGACCCCCATGTGTGCGTGTGTATATATATATATATATATATATATATATATATATATATATATATATATATATATATATATATATATATATATATATACACAAATATATATATATGTGTTTGTGTATATATATATATATACACAAACACACACACACACACACACACACACACACACACACACACACACACACACACACACACACACACACACACACACACACACACACACACACACACTCAAGTTGAGATGGTCTCGGGTCGTAAGTCGTGGTCTTAACTCGGGCGCTGCGATCGTCTTCTGTTTCTCTTCTGTGTCGCTCATTAATGGTGGATCACTTCTAAGGACTTAATTGATTATTGGTTGGGAATTGCTTTATTATTGTGCTAGCTTGCTTTCACCCATATTTTGTTTTACTTCATTATCTCGTCTCTTGTTCACCTGCTGCACCTCCCCCCCCTCCCCCCTGTGGTACAACCTTCACTGTACTCACGGCTTCGTCCCCGACTCACACTTGCGTGACCCGGGTTCGATCTCCGAGTATGTTTCCTTTCACCTGATGAACCTATTCCATGTTGAAGGTCAGGGGCTGGCATAGTGGAAGGGGCTTACATAAGCCAGGATTCAGGCTTTTTGTCCCCGACATGAGACCTTTCTGACCAGAGAGACTGGCTTGAATACCTGGTCCAGGTGTACGAAACCTGTACATCTTTACGTAATCGTTATAGCGGCTTTGTTTACAGGTTTGCGAGCTTCGTGACGTCACACACACCTGTAGGTAAATTACCCTTATAAACAACCTCTTGTCGCTTCTAAGGAACTCGCGAACTGTTTAATAAGTGTAAAGGACAGCCGGCTTGTCTTGAGGAAAGATGCAGAGGTTTCGTCATTGGTTACGGGGGAAAGCTTGATAACCTCTGGTCCTGTTTTTTTTTTCCTTGTTTGAGAACAGGTTTTTTTTTAGATATTAAATACCCAAGAGGATTGTTTGCTGTGGGTTTCTCTCAGGTGTTTTCTGAATACCCGCCAAGTTTAATCTTTTTTTGTTTTGTTTGTTTAAGCAAACCGGCTTGTTTGTTGTTTTCTGAGGCATTGTTTGTTGCTCCGCAAACTATCCAGGTCAGGTGTAGTTTGTGCTTGTTTCACAAGACCGGGTGATAGTTGATTCTAAACAAGTGTGTGTTTGTTCTCGCTTGTTCTTTGGTTCTCATTCATAGTGCTTGTTCTTTGTTCTTTGGTTCTCATTCATAGTGCTTGTTCTTTGTTCTTTTGTTCTTTGTTCCCATTCATAACGCTTGCTTAAAATTAACGTTCCTTTACACCCGACAGAAGAATATATTATATAAGAATATATTATATAGAAGGTTATCTTGAGATGATTTCGGGGCTTTAGTGTCCCCGCGGCCCGGTCCTCAACCAGGCCTCCACCCCCAGGAAGCAGCCCGTGACAGCTGACTAACATCCAGGTACCTATTTTACTGCTAGGTAACAGGGGCATAGGGTGAAAGAAACTCTGCCCATTGTTTCTCGCCGGCGCCCGGGATCGAACCCGGGACCACAGGATCACAAGTCCAGTGTGCTGTCCGCTCGGCCGACCGGCTCCTAAATAAATTATTTATATAAATAAAGGTTAAATAAATTATTTTCTAGTCTGTCAAAAAAAAAAAATTTTGCATACATAGTTTATAACATCTTTGAGTGTTTGGCAACTCCGTACAACCTTTATAAACTGTTGCTTATTTTTTTTTTACTAACAATTTATACATGTTCCTGAGATTATTCCTGAGCTTAAAATGTATATTTAGTAGTGTGTTACTTGTGGTGTTCTGGTGATCGTCGCGGCTGTTCTTGTTTGTGTTTGGTATTGGTGTGTGTTTTTTTGTGTGTGTGTAGGTGTGTGTGTGTGTGTGTGTGTGTGTGTGTGTGTGTGTGTGCGCGCGCGCGCGCGTGTGTGTTAGACAAATAAATGTAGTAGACCTAAAGGAAAAATAGATTGGTTAAAAAGGTGGGGTCCAAGAGCTAATAGCTCGATTCGACAGGCACAAATAGTAAATACACTCACTCGGTCACTCAAATCAACCCACCCGAGTGCATAAACTCAATTGAACAACGTGATGAACTTTTTAACCCAAAGAAACTGTTTCATTACAAGATTCTTCGGTTTGTCGACCTTTCTGTTCACATGAATAATAAAAACCTTTTAGTTCTCTGCCCCCTTTTAGAGCATATGTAGAGAATACACATATTCAGTATATATTATGACTAACCCCCACCGGTAAACCCCCCTAGTGAAAGGGTCTGTGGTATACTGTTAACTTAGTATTCCTTGTGTTTAGCAGTTAAGCTTCGTCAGCGCCTCCGCCTCCTCCAGTACACAGTCACTAGAGTGTAACGGACTGACTGGCTGACTGGTGTTAGTCTTGTGGCCGTCACCGCCTTGGTAACACTCCTTGATAACTGTCACTCCACCCTTCCCTCTCCTCCAACCCGCCCAGAAACCTGTACATCTTTCCTCAGTCGTGGCTTCTTTGTTTACATTTATTAAACAGTTTTATGAGTCTTCAGAACTTCTTAAACCCAGGTTGTTGTTGTTGTTGTTTATAACTTCGTGGTACTAAGGGGCTCAGAAACTCTTTAGAACATGTAAACGAAGCCACCGTGACTTGTGGAAGATGTACAGGTTTCGTAAAGGCTTGATGAATCCAGACCCAGTGTTACTTCCGTTACTGGTGAAGTTCCGTAGACGCTAACGAGCCTGTTCTTCCTCTCCTTGCATTGTTCCTTCATGCAGTCGTGGCCAGCATCTCCAGGAGTTGTTAGCGAGCCTCTTGGCACCTCACCGCCCTCAGAGCTGTCCCTCCACTGTGTAAGTAGGAACTAGTTCCTCTTAAGTGATTTCACCTCCTGATACCTGGGGTTCCTCTCATTGTTGGGGGGTTTCGAGGCCTGCATTCAAGAAATACCTGCAACCCCCCCCCCAACACCACAAACCCTCCTTCATTGTCTCCTTCAGATGTAATCCCACTAACTCAACAATCTTTCATTATTAAATCGCTTGCGAACACGACAATTGGCATTATCTTGAAAGTTAATCCACTATGTCCCAGAAGTTCTAATCCTGACCACTCCATTTTCCAAATATTTTATCTTTAAATTCCTCGAGTATTCAAAATTTTATCCAAAATTTAACTTGCCTGCAATTCCCGGCATATTGTTGAGTGAATGATTTTGTTTATATTGGTCTTGTTTACGTTCATTTCTGTCTCCCCGTGTATTTGTCTTCCAGCCCCCCTGCCTCCAGTACTTTTGTCTTCCAGCCCCCCTGCCTCCAGTACTTTTGTCTTCCAGCCCCCCTGCCTCCAGTACTTTTGTCTTCCAGCCCCCCTGCCTCCAGTACTTTTGTCTTCCAGCCCCCCTGCCTCCAGTACTTTTGTCTTCCAGCCCCCCCTGCCTCCAGTACTCTTGGCTTCCAGTCCTCACCGTCATGATAGAACACCGGACATGTTGCTTCTTAACCAAGCTGCAGACCGTAACTGTGGCATTCAGAACGAGCAGTTTTAGAGTGCCTTCCTGAGTGCTTTTCCCGCCCCCACGCCCCTCACAGGGTTAAGACCTCGCATTAGAGTCTGAATTCCGCTTCTGAATTTTGTTTGCTCTAACAGGTGATGTAATTGCTCTCAGCCCTTCATTCCAAGAGAATTTCCATAACCTGTGTGTGGTTTTATTTTAGTTTTTATTGATAACCTGTGTTGTCTGTCTATGGGTAAGGAGAAAACAAAGTTTCACCAAACTATAAAGTTCCAAATAACTAAAAATTACAGATTCGGTGAATTCAGGATCTGAGTATAAAGAATGATGCAGTTTTTTTCCTTAATTCATCTGTGTTTTAAGTCTTTCTTGTGCCTGGTTATCGCTGTACAGATGGTTTCATTTTCGACATTCACAGGCCGGAATCCCAGGTTCGACGCCTCCCCGGGCGGAACATATAAATGGTTTGGGCAAATTTCACCTAATGGCTCTGTTGTTCGCCTGAGTGGTAACTAGGCACCCGGGAGATAGGAACCCATTTGTGGGGTGTTGCATCGTGGGGGAGGGTCAGTAGGTTGATCTATGGAGCAGGGAGGGGTGGGGGTGGGGAGGGGTAGCCAGGGTGGTTCCAAACGTCGTCTCATAAGGGGTTAGGACGGGTCGAAACGTCTTCACTTTCATTTCTTTTCATGTCTGTGTTGGGTGGGTAATTTTCAGCCACGATGTTGTGAGTTAATGTCTGCACCTTCACCCTATCATCTCTCACTCTCTCATACGTTATAAGACTTGATAATGGTTCAGGACGGACCAAAACATTGCCAATTCTTCATCTACAACTTTCATTTAGTTCTGAAGCTGTCACTTGTCCCCTGATGAAGCAACTGAATCAATCTTATTGTTGCTCAATGTTGCCGTTATTAATTCTATCATATATTTGTCAGTATTATGCTCATACAACAATGGTACTGTTAGTCTGCATTAGGTTTTCTTGTTTGAAATGATCATTTGTTGGTGATTTGCAGATTCCTGGACCTTTCTGAATGTGTTGTAGTTGCTCACATTTCCTTGCTTCAAGATTCATGTTTGAGTTCTCATTGAGCTTTGTCAAGGACTCTCTCTCTCCTTTCATCCTAATAAATAACACTGCTGTATCTATTATTATTATTATTTTCATTCCTTTCAGACAAGTCTTCACCAGATTTGCTCAAACTTGAAGCGCCTAAAAACTAGTTTTGTCAATTAAAACATTAATATTTCTTCCTTTTTAGAGGCTAAATATGTTATTACTAAGCATCGGTTCAGGGTACATTATTTATATTTTTGCAGACTTGTAATTTGTCCTTGCAACATTCTCTGCTGTTATGCCTGCTTTTACAGGTTTATAAAAATAGTCTCTCACTAGTGTTTGTTCCTCAACTGTCCACAACTACTGATGTTGTGCGCTAATGTTAATTATTACGTCCCTGCGGTGTTACAGATAAAAGTAGGGTATTAAATTAATAGGGGTACTAAAAGTATCAACACAAGACAGTACGCGAAACAATTGGTATAAATTGAATAAATTTAGATTTAGGAAAGACCTGGGTAAATACTGGTTCGGAAATAAGGTTGTTCATTTGTGGAACCAATTACCGCCTAACATGATAGAAGTAGGATCCCTTGATTGTTTCACGCCTAGGTTAGACATTATATATATATATATATATATATATATATATATATATATATATATATATATATATATATATATATATATATATATATATATATAATATATTGGATATATGAGAGCATAAGAATGGAAGTAACTGCAAAGGGCCTATTGGCCCATACTTCCTCTTGATGCTTCTATATTGGTTCGGAGTCTTGAAGTGGGTAGAATATAGCTGTGCATTAATTGGCTGTTGATTGCTGGTGTTGACTTTTTGATGTGTAGTGCCTCGCAGATGTCAAGCCGCCTGCTATCGCAGTATCTATCGATGATTTCTGTGTTGTTTAAGACTTCTCTGGTGATGGTCTGGTTGTGGGAAGAGATTATATGTTCCTTAATGGAGCCCTGTTGCTTATGCATTGTTAATCGCCTGGAAAAGAGACGTTGTTGTCTTGCCTATATACTGAGTTCTTTGAAGCTTACAGTCTCCCAAGTGGGCATTTGAAGGCATAGACGACGTTGATCTCCTTTAAGGCGTTCTGCTTTGTGTCTGGAGCTCATATATCCAATTAATACCCCATTGTTCCGTGTTCTGTCTTGTGTGTGTCAAAAGTTTGTTCACCTCATCCAAAACTGTTGCAATAATATATATATAGATATAACGATTGGGTGGGTATAAATAGCTGCGTCGTATGGGCCAATAGGCCTTCTGCAGTTACCTTCATTCTCATGTTCTTATGTAAAAGCTTTCCGTGATGTTTACAGTCAATGGGGTTTTATGTTTTGGTTCCTGCTGTGTGCGGGTGACTCTGGACTCCAGAGGCAGTATTAGTCAACACTCTGCTTATACTCCTGTTTTATTATATAATAATTTTAGAATCAAAATAATAATTTTGTAATCTTGAATGATATCTCTCTTATAGTATACCTGTTGCTTAGTACGCTCTGTTGTCACTTTAAGTTCCGTGTGTTACTTGCCATTCTCCGCTCTTTCTGTCTCTGATTTTATCCACATCTCTGTTCTCCCTTCCTTCTTGCTTTATCATTCTTCTTTCAAACCATCTCATATTTTTCTCTATTTCTCCATTCGTTTAACCACTCGCTCTACACTCTAAGTCCAGTTTTGTTTACTTCGTTAATCTGGCACCCTAGGTATCCTCCCCCCATTTGCACCCCCATGTATCCCCACCGTCACCCCCCCGTACGTATCTTCCCCCCCCCCAGTATCTCCCCCCCCCCCAGTATCTTCCCCCCTCCCCTACGTATCTTCCCCCCCTTCCCCCCCACGTATCTCCCCCCCCCACGTATCTCCCCCCCCCCCACGTATCTCCCCCCCCCACGTATCTCCCCCCCCACGTATCTCCCCCCCCCACGTATCTCCCCCCCCCACGTATCTCCCCCCCCTCGCGTATCTCCCCCCCCCACGTATCTTCCCCCCCCCCCCCACGTATCTCCCCCCCCACGTATCTTCCCCCCCCCCCACGTATCTCCCCCCCCACGTATCTCCCCCCCCACGTATCTCCCCCCCCCAACGTATCTCCCCCCCCCCCAACGTATCTCCCCCCCCCCCACGTATCTTCCCCCCACCACACACACAAGCTCTCCCTCCCCTCCCCCCCCCCATGTACCTGACCGCAGAGATAACACACTTTCTCTGCCGCAGCAGACAGGACCTGGAGCTGGAGACCGGCAGCAGCGTGTTCGGCGGGAGCGAGTGTTCGAGCTCCCTACCCCGCTCCCCGACGGACGCCTCCCACCATCACGACTTTGATCGGTTAGTCCCACCGACTTTAGCATGGGAGGGGACGGTTGGGGGGGAATGGTTGGAATTTATCAAGCCAAATGACGAAACCTGTGCATCTTTTCTCATTCATTGTGGCTTTTAAAATGTTAAAACAGTTTACGAGCTTTGGAAACTTCACAACCCGAGGTTGTTGTTGTTATAAACAATGGCGTGGCGCTTCGGAGCTAGTATACTGTTTAACAAACTGAGGAAAGATGTATAGGTTTCGGTTCCGTAAATGCCTGATGAATCCTGGTTCAGCACGCTTTTTTTATAAGCATCTATTGTTAACAAACAAATGACTGTCGCGAATGTTTCGTAATAATTTATTTAATACTCAAATAGACGTGAGATTTTGATAGTGTAGAGAGAGAGAGATTGAGAATGAGTTAACTTCCCGCCAGGTTGAACTGCTAAAGGGCTGCTTAACACCACACTATCATGATCAGTGACGGTGACGTGCTCACAGTAATTACGGTGAGCTGGTAACAAGGGAGGACACAAGCCAGCATCATACTTTGACGTGTGAGAGAGGCGTGGGGGGGGGGGAGGGTAGCAGGCAGCATCACCAGTTCAAGATTTCGTCTGAAAGCATATGGGCGACTTGAACAAACTGTTGGTACAGGTCACTTCGTTCACTAGACGACCAAGACTTTTGTAACCATAGGGTAGCCCAGCCTATCCAACCTAACCTAATCTAACCTAGGTTAACACTCAAGTGAACGTAACAATAGATATGTTTAACTTTACAGATATACACAGCAATATTTGTTTGTAACGGGACTATATATACTAGCACACCGTACTCCTGGTGTGTGTGTGTGTGTGTGTGTGTGTGTGTGTGTGTGTGTGTGTGTGTGTGTGTGTGTGTGTGTGTGTGTGTGTATACGACCCGACATACCGTGTCTGATATTTTCTCACATCTGATCAGTATCCTGATGGGGGGACTCTACTGGCCGTACCAGTAGAGTTACCGCAAGTACAGTACCAGTTACAGCAACCTGTAACTCTGTTACAGGTTGCGTATGAACCTGGAGGAGAGTGAGGGAGCGCGCGCGCGTCGGCAGGAGGAATCAGTCATCATGGCCGTTCAGGACCATTCTGACAGGTGAGTAGTTGGGTGTTTACCTAGGCCTATACAACTGGGTATTTACGTAGGCCTATACACTAGCCAGACCAACAACTAGATCGCAACTCCTTAGTCTTCCGAGACTGAGGATGCCTCCTGCACTAGCTGAATTTACCTAGGCCTATACCAATATAGCTGGGTATGATAGTGTGATTGTTGTAGTGGTACTGGAAGTAGTGGTTGTGGTAAGGGAGGAGAGTTACTAATTGTGGTGGAGATATAGTGGTAGATGCGTACTGGTGATTGTGGTCAAATGTTGGTTGTGTTTACATCTACCACCATCTATGGTAGTAGATGGTAGAGATGATGATGTTTGTAGTGGTTACTGTCGTGACGGCGTCCGACTGATGCTTGCATCCTTCGAACTCACATTGTCGCATTGGTCGCCCTTAACGGAACGACAAACTGAATAGCACTTGATGACCAAAACCACACATCATAAAATTAAGAAACGACGACGTTTCGGTCTATCCTGGACCATAACACGACTTGATAATGGTGTAGGACGAATCGAAACGTTGTCGTCTCTTCATTATCCGGCGTGTGGCTTCGTCACATCTTGGCAACAGTCAATATTTATTTACTTTCTAAACTTTCATATAATTGTGAAGTTTGTATTCATCAGAATGGCGATGAATAATAATGAATGATGATTGTCTGAGACCTTTTCAGACGCCGGACCGACGGGGAGGAGGAAGGCCGAGGTCCCTGGAGGGACAAGAGCACAGCTGAGATGCCCATGGCGGGAGAGGAACGAGGCTGGTTCAGGAAGCGCGACAAGAGTTCATCGCGCGAGCTGGACCGCGCCAGTGAAGAACGACAGCCGGAGAAGTCGCGATGGTTCAGGAAGAGAGACAAGAGCTCTTCCCGAGGCTCTGATGACAGGAACGCGCGACGGGAGGAGAGCGATCGCCGACAGCGCGAAAAGACGAAGAGAAGAGAAGAAGCCTCAGGTTCGGACAGAAGACGAGACGGGGCGGGGAAGCCTGTGGTGGGGTCGAGGGCGTCTGGGGACGGGGCGGTGGACTGGGAGGAACACACAGGTTCTCAGGAACGGTTGCGTGTCCCTGAGCCTACAGTGCGCAGGTTGTCGTCACCTGAAATTGATAGTTCTCGAGTGATAACTGCCTCGTTACGTATTCCGGTGCCTTTAGGTCAAGGTGGCCCTCTGTCCTTCACACAAGACACTGAAATTCCGTATATTGAAGATGACGATAAAAAAAACCGCCATAGAAATTCTCCGTATAAGACGAGTGGCGGGTGTACCCGCAGCGACGTGACCCGCCAACGGTCCGGCAGCAGCGACTCCTACCTTGGGCAGCCCATCACAGGAACCATGAGCTTCCAACCCCTGACCAAGAAGAGCGGCGACAAGCAGAGTCACGACTCCGTCCTCTCGTCGTCCTCGGCCGACGTGTTCACGCTGTCGCCGTCACCACGCAACACGCCCCTCTCCGACCTGTACGCCTCGGGCACGTCCTCGCCGCTCAGTCGACCAGGATCACCCCCACACTGGCTCAGTCCGGACTCTGGTACACCAGGTCTCTCGCCTCCAAACTCTCCTCCTCTACAACCTAAACGACGAGGCGACATGCGGAACAATCCACTCGCTCACTCTGTCACTCACACCTTTGGCTCCAAGCCCCCAACCACGCCAGCGAGGGGTAAAGCTTCACCCACAGCTGCTTCACAAGGGTTGTTTCCCATAGGGCGCTCTAAAACAGCAGATATCATCAAAGTTGATCCGAGCCACAGCGACGCAAGAGTCGTCGGCCACGACTCTGCCGAAAGCGCTGGTCGTCGTAGTAGTCGTGGGGAGGAGGCGTCTGGAGAAGGAAAGACACAGAGGGAGTCTGGCGGTCGACGCTACGTCCGACGAAGGTATACAGGGGAACGCCACGTAACGGGACACCTGCCTGACCTGAGTGGCGCCTCTACCAGAGAGTCCCAGCCCTCGGGGGAAGGTCAGACACAACTCTGGAAGCGATGGGAAATCATTGCCTCAGACCCAACAGAGCCAGAAACATTTGTATAGCCACTGAGCCTCCGAATGGTGTGCGGAGGCTTACTGAACTGCCTCATCACAGCGCCTCGCTACCTCCACCATCCAAGAACAATGCTCGCACTACTACCAAGGCTCGCTAGCATCTAGTCACTCGAGTACCTTTTCCATGGTGATAGTGGGATACCTCACAGCAACACAGTGCACACAGAAAGCATATCCTGTGGAACAGTCTATCAGGAACCAGTCTAGTCAGTCTCTGGACACGTTCGTGGACTCTCCAGAGAAAAATCACGAAAATAAGTACAGAGGTCAGTGTATATATATATATATATGTATGTATATATATATGTCCGGATATGGTAGTTACACTCAAACACTAAGTGTATGTGCAGTTACTGTAATTACTCACCTGTGCTGTACCCTTTCTGCTGTTATTGTAATTGTGTAATTGTTTAATACTACAATGGTGTTAATTCACTTTCTATGTCAGCTGTGATTGTTGAGAAAGTTCCCAAGTTCGTAAGTCACTTTTGTGAATTAAAACTTTTATATAAAATCAATGTACAATGCAAAGAACAACGATATATTTCTGATGGTAAGTTTGTTTCATTGAATCATCATTTATAAGTCTTCACCCGTCAGTTATACAGGTTCCAGTGATATTTTCACAGGAAGACACTGAAGTTTCTAGCATTATATTCCGTGTCAACTCTCACTTTATTTTTCCTCACCTGCTGTCTGTGTGTGTGTGTGTGTGTGTGTGTGTATGTATTCACCTAGTTGTGCTTGCGGGGTTGAGCTCTGCTCTTTCGGCCTGCCTCTCAACTGTCAATCAACCGTTATTAACTACCATCTACCTAATTTTTCACACACACACACACACACACACACACACACACACACACACACATACACACACACACACACACACACACACACACACACACACACACACACACACACACACACACACATATACACACACACACACACACACAAAGCAGCCCGTAGCAGCTGTCTAACTCCCAAGTACCTATTTACTGCTAATTAGCAGTGGCATCAGGGTGAAGGAAACTCTGCCCATGTGTGCTTCTGCCGGCTGCCGGGATCGAACCCTGGTCCCTAGGTCCACGAGTCTTAGAGTGCTGTCCACACAGCCAGCCAGCCCCCGTCCTGTGTGTGTGTCTGTCTCTCTCTCTCCAATAACACAATTGGAAAATAATGTACGAAGCAACACTCCTTATTTAATCAAACAAAAACATAACAATTAATAAATACAAATATAAAAACTCGTATAAACACACATGACAAGATCATCAAGACCCATCAAAAATATATATATTTAATTTTACAATTACACAATAAGTTAAAATATATTCATAAATAAAGAACATTTCCTGAATATGGGACAATAGAGCAGTGTAGTGAGAGAAGGCACTGTATGTGGCACCCAGTAGTAGAGAAGGCACTGTATGTGGCACCCAGTAGTAGAGAAGGCACTGTATGTGGCACAAAGTAGTAGAGAAGGCACTGTATGTGGCACCAAGTAGTAGAGAAGGCACTGTATGTGGCACCCAGTAGTAGAGAAGGCACTATGCGGCACAAAGTAGTAGAGAAGGCACTGTATGTGGCACCAAGTAGTAGAGAAGGCACTGTATGTGGCACCAAGTAGTAGAGAAGGCACTGTATGTGGCACCAAGCAGTAGAGAAGGCACTGTATGTGGCACCAAGTAGTAGAGAAGGCACTGTATGTGGCACCAAGTAGTAGAGAAGGCACTGTATGTGGCACCAAGTAGTAGAGAAGGCACTGTATGTGGCACCAAGTAGTAGAGAAGGCACTGTATGTGGCACCAAGTAGGAGAGATTGTACTAAAGCACTTCATGAGTAGTGGGACACTGGTGTATAGGAGGGGGGGGAATGTGGCACTATGAATAGGACACTGATGCACTGTGGCATTATATGAAATGTGGCACTGTTTACATAGCAATGACTGCACGAGGAAGAGGCACTGTATGAGGGAGAGAGAAGTATGAGGGGGGGGCGCACTGGATATCAATACTGCACGAGAGACACACACACACACTTCATGTGGGGTAGGGAAGGTACCTTATAAGGCACTGGCACTGCATGACGATGAAGCACTACGAGGGTACTAGTATGATGGAGATGGTACAGACTTTTTTTGTTTAATGGAGAACGAGGAAATCGAGGTAAGAACAATTCTTCTCATGCAGGCCGCAGCGACTGAAGCCATTTTGGTCTTGTGAAGAAGTCAACAGCTGAAAATAGTAAGGGTCGTTAATTAAACCAATTATCGCCTCTAATTTACACACACACACACACGTGGTCAGTCAGTCGTGGTGAAGGGTTGTGGGTTGGGACACTCCAGTGTGTTCTATTAAGTTGGGAGGGTTAAGCAGTCTACAATCAGTAAAATAAAAGTGTATACGAGTGAATGAATAACTGGTAAACTGATAGAAACCCATAAGCAAGTGAAGAACTAAAGCCGAGATAATGTATTTGTTATTAAGTGTTGTACACATTGTGGACTAGACTAGTGGTGTGGACACCGACCTCACCTGCCCCTAGAGACACGTCACCCGAGTGTGCCAGCATACCGAGTAAGGTATTTGGGACCCCTGTTGGCTAAGGTAGTTTGTTGCAATGACAAAATCAGATATGTCCACAGGTCAAGCCGCATCATGGAAGAGGAAGATAGGTTTATAGAGAAAGTGATTGGGAAATATGTTGAGAGGAGCAGCGATTGGATGGAGGATTTAATCCTCGGAATTAAAAAAATGATTTCAACAAATACAGGATGAGATTGAGAGACAAAAACTAAGTGCTCAAGGACTATATTCAGGGAGGGAATCAGGGAAATGAGGGAAGAATGGGAAGCCATGTGTACAATGGAGGACAAAGAGTTAAACCCAGGAAGCATTTATTCTGATGTGGGGGATCAGATTAGTGAGGGACGGATTAGCGAGTATAAGAGGGGGGGGGGGGGCAGGCAACAAATGGGGACAAGACAGTGAGGCTAAACTACGTTATTTGGAGAAGCAACTTCAGAAAATTACTCTAATATAAGACAATGCAGAACAAACAACTTGAAACAAGCGGGTAAATGATACGGACTCGGTAAGGGCTGCATCACTGTGGGGGGCAAGAACCAGCATGAGTGGATCCCAGAGGAGGCAGACACTTGTCATTCATGGATTATGTGAAGCAAAGACAACATCTATACCAAGGAAATAAAGCAAAAATAAGGAGTTGCACTCCGCACTCCTTTGTAAAACAGAGGTAGACGTCTGAACGTGAGAATCAAGAGTGCAAATGAGTACACAAATTCCATCACGTGGACTATATAACAGCAGACGGAAAATTAAGAATAATGGTCAAGGTAATTTACCCCCCCCCCCCCACAGCAAACAAGACCCAGACATGAATGATAGCCAAGCATGCATAGATGAATTGCAGAGAGCAGCAACAGCAGCAAACAGAATGAGAGTTTAAACTTAGTCACGGATGACCTTAACCAGAGAGAATTGGGAATCCCAATTGGGAATCTATTGGGAATTGGGAATACTACTGGGAATCTAGGAAGTCCCCATAGTGGGGACGAAACGTGGGGCGCAAAACTAGTGGAAAGTTCTAGAACAAAAAACTTAACGCAAGCATGTAAAGGAGGTCCACCAAGCCTGTTGGACCTGAGCTTCACCCAGAATGAGGAAGGCATCAATATGGCCAGATTCACGAAACAGTTACGCAAGCACTTACGAACCTGTACATCTTTCCTCAATCTTTAACGACTTTGGTTACATTTATTAAACAGTTTACAAGCACGAAAACTTCCCAATCAACAGTTATTGTTATAAACAGCCTCCTGGTGCTTCGGAGCTCATTAACTGTTTAATAACTGTAAACAAAGCCGCCAAAGACTGAGAAATGATGTACAGGTTGGTACGTGCTTGCGTAACTGCTTCGTGAATCTGGCCCCTGGAGCACGGAATGCCACTAGGAGTCCCTGACCATCGTCTCCTGCTAGTTGACAGAACTAATTGAACTGAAAACAGTGACCATAAGACAAGGAGACTATAGGAAAGGAGACTACATGAAGGCAGCCACGTCTGGGAAGTGTACAATGGGATGAGGAACTTAACGGAATGACAGACCAGGAAATAATGGTCCAAGTTAAACAGAGCGGCAAAGAGGCAGAAAAATGGTCATACCAACAATAAGAGAAAAAAGAACAAATAATAACCACTGGTTTAATAGACAGCGCCAAGAAGCAACAGTGAAAAGCAGGAGTGGAGGAAATATAGAGAACATTCGACAGAAGAAAACTGGAATAAAAGAATTCACTCTACTATTCCAGAAAACCGAAGTGCATTCAGGGCAAGGAATGAATACGTAAAATAAGAAGATTGTCAAAGAAACTATGAAAATTGTATTGCTTCCAAAGCAAAGAAATAAACTTCTACATAGCCATATCAGAAGGAAAAATGACAGTGAATGACAAATGACTATATTAAGAAAAATGAGAGGCGAGTATACAGGGAATAAGAAAATTTGTGAGAAACTACACAAGCTTCCAAGGAATGTTCACAACTGAGGCTAAACAGCTCCCAGTGCTAGGAGGAGGAGGAGGAGGAGGAGGAGGTGGTGGTGGTGGTAACCCCCTGATGAGAGACTATCTAATATTAAGGTAACAGTAAGTAATTAAACAACTAGCATCACTAGACGAAACTAAAAACTAAAGCTATTTGGTCAGTGACTCAACATAGATGTTAAAATCAGCACAGGCTCTCTGCCTACCTCTGGCACCGATCTTTAACGAGTCTCTTGCAAAGGGGGAATTGCCCAGCTGCTGGAGGATGTGAAATGTGATATCAATCTACAAGACAGGAGATGGAGGCACTTAACTACAGACCAGTGGCACTCGCAAGCATCCCTTGCAATGTACTCTAAATAATAAGCTTAAGACTAGTTACACACCTAGAAAGAATGTATTATAAATTGATGTTTGTTTGCATGCATAACTCCATTTATAGCTTTAGTAACTTTAAAAGTCGGAATAACAGGGAAATATAAGTCAAGAATCATTACATTAGAGAACCGGCGGCAAGACGACTGGGTCCTAGAGCTAGACCTCGATCCTGAAGACACGAATAGATAAAACACACACACGTACGTTTCAAAGCTTCACATAATAAAGAGCACCAGGAAGACGGGACACCACGAGCGCAGTTCTCATCCTACAGCAACACTCGGGTGCAGTGTAAGCACAAACGCACACTCCTACACCTACGTTAGACTAACACTAGAGTATTCAGCGTCGGATTTGACTCCCCACTTGAAAAAGCGCGAAATATAGCTAAAGGGGAGGCAGAGGTTCATTACAAAGCTGAGAGTCTCTACCTCAATACTTTAAAGAGGGAAGGAACGGGGAGGGGTCATGATTGAGACATACAAGATCTTCAGGGTGGCTGGAGTGTATATACAAAGTTAAAATGTTCACCAAGGGTAAACAGAACAAGGAAGCATAGATGTGAGCTGTAAATATAAACAAACAGGACCAATTATAATTCCAGACGTAATTATGATTGGCCGAACCTTATGACCATGTACAAGGCGGTAATTAGAGGCACGTCTAATTACCAGTGAATTAGATATATTAACTGACCCCTGCACACCGGCAGCTTGAATTGCGTTTCTACACACAAACGGTGTTTTTGAAGCTTTAGGAAACCTTACTAACATACAATAGCTTAGTACACGGAAAAAACTTCCAGAGGGCAAGATAGATTTTAATGGAATCTAATTAGATTTTAAAGATGAAATAGGAAGTATGATTCGATGACAGAACAAAGCCGAAAAGACCGCTGTTTGAGTCACGAATGGACTTGGCAAATCTTTGAATAAAACTAACAAAATAAGCACAACGAGAACTATGAACTTGCTTTGCAACACTGGACTTCTACCACACAAACAATCTGCAGCAAACAGAAAATGGAAAAATGCTTAAGACTTTTAAGGTACACTAAATGTACTTACCTAACCATTTACAACTATGGCAGTCTGAGCGCCCGTCCCTTTGTTGACAGTGAGGCTGGCTGTCCCGGTGCCGGCTACGTTCAACCCGGTGCCTTTAGTGAAGAGATTGCCCAGGCCGGCCAGGTTAGGCTTGGGTATGGTTGGCAATGCAGGCAGCACTGGCTTGGGGATGGTGGGGAGGGCGGGGAGGACGAGGCCTGGCTTCTGGACGGTGTTCTGCTGGTCCAGAGGGATGATGGCGGCCACGCCGGCACCAATGGCAGTGGGGACGTTGCCCAGGCCGCCGCTGAACTTGTTGGCTATGGTCGCAGACGTCAGCAGACCGAAGTCCTGAACCGCATTGGAGACCTGAGATAGGAATATATAAATATTATTAATGTATCGATTAAATATTAATATTTTGCATATACTAAAGTGTATTATAATATTATTAATATATTAAGTGTATTAACAATATATTAAATATTAAGTGTAGTGTGCAAAATATTAAATTTGTTTCACGTGTGTGTGTGTGTGTGTGTGTGTGTGTGTGTGTGTGTGTGTGTGTGTGTGTGTGTGTGTGTGTGTGTGTGTGTGTGTGTGTGTGTGTGTGTGTGAGAGAGAGAGAGAGAGAGAGATAAGCGTGTGTGGTGTGTATTAGAAACTATGTATGAACCATGTATCAGCATAAACACAAGCAATTTCTATACCGCTTTCCTCGTGGTTACAGTTACGATCAGTCACAACTAAGTGACTCAGTCTCTCACGACTAAAGACAAATTTATATACAACAATGAACACGGCTGTACAATTTCTCCTAATAAAAGCCTAATCAGCGCTCTCTTATTTGTTATAAATTTACTAAAATACCACATTAAAAACCGCACATTAAATTTCTGATCTACTAAATCTGTAATCTCACACACACCGCCTCGCCCCACACACCGCCTCGCCCCACACACCAGACGCCAGTCACAGCGCAGCCTAGTAAACTCTCTCCAGAAAAACCGGGTAATTTAGACAGTGATAAACTGCCGGAAACTCTAATGTCTGATGGAAGTGCGTTACAGTGAACCTGAATATGAGAGAGATCATGGCCCGGCTCCTGGTACCGGGCTCCTGGTACCGGGCTCCTGGTACCGGGCTCCTGGTACCAGGCTCCTGGTACCGGGCTCCTGGTACCGGGCTCCTGGTACCAGGCTCCTGCATGGTTGGTGTCCACAGAGCCGTGGAAACGCTTTCACTTCACCAGGAAAGAATGACCTACTTGTCGACTATAAAATGTCTTCAGTCACCCGTTTAATGTACCGATTTTCCTTTAGGAGGTTTTCTAAGTACAATTCTTTTGTCGGTTTAAGATTAAAGTCTTATTTGATCTTGGAAATATTCCGTCGAGCGCTGTATATATTATGATCTATGGAACTTGAGCAGTGTTGTTTGTAAATAGGAAATAGTAAGAAAGTTTCTCGTCTTTGTTAGAAATCACCAGACGTGATTTTGGTGAAAATTATTGCTAATTAGACCTCGTGAAATTGCCTGTTGGTCGAGCTGAGCGCTGTTAGTAATGTGTTCGAATTCTTGCGCATCGTTTATAGCGTTTTCAAGCACCTGCGCGCTCACGAGAACTTAGCCCACCCACTTGGGCTGGACGGTAGAGTGACAGTCTCGCTTCATGGAAGTCGGCGTTCAATCCCCGACTGTCCACAAGTAGTTGGACACCATTCCTTCCCTCCCCGTCCCATCCTAAATCCTTATCCTGACCCCTTCCCAGTGCTATATAGTCGTAATAGCTTGGCGCTTTTCCCCTGATATTTCCAGATTAACGAGAACTTACTTCTGCCCTCATTAGGATTCACTCCAAGTTGTAATGTCTTTATGAACAATATAAATAATAAATTTTACCCAATATTTTAAATGTCAAGACCGAGATGCATTTTCTTTTAAAATATACATTTTTACAATGCATCTTGCTGCTCAAGCAAAGTTGAGGTTGTAGGTAGCGGCACTCAGCCCAGCCTCCTGTTTTGGTAGTACTTATAGGAAGGATGAGGACCATAGTACATATACCGACATACAACGCTGTTAGAAAGTAGAAATCGGTACTATTGAATTTGGACCAACCGGAAACAATTTTATCATTTATGTTGCAAAGACACACTAAACTAACCTAACCTCCCTAGGCCTAATACACGATATCCGAGGTTTAATATAGTACAAATGTGTGCTATGCTAGGCCTTGGGATCTGTACTAGGCCTAGGGAATATTTAAGTGTTTTTTAATGCTTCATATTTTTCGGACTATAAAGTGAATAGTACCAAAATGCTACTTTCTAATTGCTTAGTACGTCAATGTTTGTACTCTGGTGCACAGTTACAAGGAGTACTAACTAAACAGGAAGACGGGTTGCGGCATTTAGAGCTCGGGGAGCCGGTCGGCCGAGCGGACAGCACACTGGACTCGTGATCCTGTGGTCCCGGGTTCGATCCCGGGCGCCGGCGAGAAACAATGGGCAGAAACAATTTCACCCTATGCCCCTGTTACCTAGCAGTAAAATAGGTACCTGGGTGTTAGTCAGCTGTCACGAGCTGCTTCCTGGGGGTGGAGGCCTGGTCGAGGACCGGGCCGCGGGGACACTGAACCCCCGAAATCATCTCAAGATAACCTCAAGATAACGTCGGGGTTGGTACTGGGACCAGTTGGGTAGTTCAGCGCCATTTTCTTCCCCCAGCACATGATCAGCCAATCATTCACCCAGGTTCCCAATTACTCCTAGGGGGAGGGGGGGTAGGGAGGGGAGATTAAGGACGCCCAGTCGTGCCAATCTTACCCTGGGGTCTGAAGCTGGGTCGTTGTGGCTTGTGAGGTCTTAACCACTACGCCACCAAGACCAATGTTAAAGGGAAGAAATGACCAATTAAACTAAGACTACATTATATTCCATCGTCCTAGTTCCTGTTCACCCTCTTCAGATGCTGCAATACTGTCGGGCCAGGGATCATTAGGCCTTTACGTTGCCTAGATACGAAACCTGTACATCTTTCTACGATCATGGTGGGTCGTAGGTTTGTATTTATCAGTTTGACAAGTTTGGAAACTATTCAATCTAAGGTTATTGTCGCAGAAGACGACCTCGTAGCGTTTCACAGCTCAAACGCTTACTTAAATATCAATCAAGCCGGAAAGATGTACAGGTTTCGTAAGAGGTCGCTCAAGTTCACTGTAAAATCCTGGTGACAAGTTAATCAACTGATCAATCCTTACCTTTTTGATGCCTTGTCCGATGGTCTTGATGAACTCCGGGAACCTGAGCACCATCACCTCCGTCTTGGTTGGCAGCACAGGTCGCGCCGGTGGCACCACGGGAGCCACTACGCCAGGCTTGTTGATGGTCAGGGAGCCTTGGAGGTTGGCATTCAGCCCCAGCCCGCCGATAGGCCTCCCAACTGCGGGTGCGGCGGCAACGGCAGGCGTGGCGACCGCAGGCGTGGCCGTGTTGAGGAGTTTCGTCAGCCAGTTGAAGTTCCAGGGGGTGGCGGGGATGTCCACGGCCTGGGTTATCACCGGCGTGGCCACGGGCGCCGCCACGGGCAGCACCGGCACCTGTCAACGACAGACATCACTGTGGTGAGGCATCTCTGTGTGCACACACTGCACAGAGTCCAAGACCCACACACACACACACACACACACACACACACAGTCCAACCCCCCCCCCCCCTACACACACACACACACACACACACACACACACACAGATCACCACTTACATTATGGCCCTTGGTTGCGGTAATGGCGATATTGGCGGTCAAGGGCGGGGCAGCAGGTCCCAGGGCGCCCTGCCGCAGGTCCTTGGCGGGCTTGTTGCGCTTCTCCGTGTCGTCGCTCCTCCTGCGGCCCTCCTCCCGCAGCTCCACCACCGGCTCTATGCCTGCGGCCTCCGGGTACACATCAGCTGCGGACGACAGAATAATCAGTACTCGTAGAAGATCGGGTCTTGGCGCTCCAACAGCTTAGAGGCAGCTTCATGTATACAAAAGGAAAATAAAATTTCAAACGCCATCATGTTTTGAAGTCAGAATCTCGCCACAGATACAGGCAGGATTTGTTGTTGAAGTGATACTTGAGAGAAGTGATAGCGGCCGTGGAGGGAGAAGGGTGAGCTAGTTGGCCCTGTAAGTGCCATGTTCACTCTCAGGTCACCTGCACGGCCTTGCACGCCCCTACCAATGACTCGTAAGCACGCAAGAGCACGGCTGTGATAGCCGCGGCTTCGTCGTAAAGTATCGACAAGTTGTCGGGAATTATTTGTATTTGAAGTGAATGAAGCATTTATAGCGAGTGGGATTCGAACACTCAAAATATAAATAATTCGGCAACGAAGCCCAAATACCTTCTCTTATTATTACAGGCTTTGTTAATATGGCATATTTTCCCTCGCATTGTCCTTCATGTTCTACGTCCGTTGATCCCTTATTGCCTGTCCGGAATAGACCTTGTTTAACCCATGTTTGACCAGACCACACACTAGAAATTGAAGGGACGACGACGTTTCGGTCCGTCCTGGACCATTCTCAAGTCGATTGTGATTTAACCCATGTTTATTGCCCCCCCCCTTCCTCCCCCCCCCCTGCCTGTCACCTGCGCTGTTAGCGGTCTCTGGCGCCTCTCCTGTACTACCTGCCTCCTTCCTTCCAGTCTTCCCGTCATCAATATGAACGTCTCTGACGAAGGTCACTGTCCGTAAGTGCCAAGACGAAATCCAAACGCAGATGGACTTAATCCTTATAAAAGTTCAGTGAACCTCAAGACCACTGCCAACACACTTGACAGCTGCCTAGACAATCAGGGAGGTGTCGTCTTTAATTTCGATATAAGGATTAAACATTAACAAAGTCTAAAGATAGGAAAGCTTTTGTTGTATAATGCTGATGTATGGTCAGTATTGACCCTACACCAGTATGACAGCGCTAATGCATAATGCCTTAGCGCTTTCATGGGATAATTACCGTCATTTTGTATATATATATTAAGCGTTTTTTTAACGTTTTACAAAAAGTTGAAACGCGGGGGAAGAGATAGACAGACACACACACAAGAATTACCACTATAAGGATGGAGGTGTCGACTTGGGGAGGTAGTACTCACCTGGCTGCTGTTCTATGTACTTGGAGAAAGGGAAGTCCCAGAACCATCCGACTGCCCTGCCATCCTCAGCCTCCCTGCCTTCCGCCCGCCACGCCGCCGCCGCCATCACCACCACCACCAGATGAAGCAACAGCATCATCAGCTGCTCCTGAAAGATATAACACAGTTACTCATCAGTTTTTCATGTCTAAAATGCTTGTTTGGATGATAAAATGTTTCTCCTCCCAGGGTTTAGAGCGACGGTCTCGCTTCATGCAGGTCGGCGTTCAATCCCCGACCGTCCACAAGTGACTTGGCACCATTCCTTCCCTCCCCGTCCCATCCCTAATCCCTATCCCTTCCAAGTGCTATATATTAGTAATCGTAATGGCTTGGCGTTTAATTCTGATAATTCCCTTCCCTTTCCCCTTCACGTGAGCGATTAAATAGTGTAAGTTAGAGTCCAAGTAATTGGTTGCCTAATCACGGGCTATTCATGCCCGTTATTAGGCATGGTTGCCCGTGCCACCTATTTGGTGGCTTAATCTTCACCAACCAACCAATCAGTGGTTGCCTCGCCTGAGAATAACTAGCACCCATTTTTCATGCAGGTCGACGACCGGGCCGCGGGGACGCTAAGCCCCGGAAGTACCTCAAGGTAACCTCAAGGTAGGAGTCTAGGTGTCCACTCTAACTACCATCAGGACCTTCACCACGAGTAACAGGACCTTCACCACGAGTAACAGGACCTTCACCACGAGTAACAGGACCTTCACCACGAGTAACAGGACCTTCACCACGAGTAACAGGACCTTCACCACGAGTAACAGGACCTTCACCACCACAAGAGCACGCGGCTCTATCAGTGCGTGAGTGTTTTTACCAGAGCCAACGGAGAGCGAGATCAGGCACCTGGGCCCCGCCTCGTAGCTATCCGTACCTAGTGCATTTACTTCTTCCGTAATGCATGCACTCACCTAGCTGTACTGTGTAATAACTGGTGTGGGGGCTAGCTTTGTCATAGTGTGTGCGTGAATGAGATGAGTTCTTTGGTCTCTGTGATCCCTTCTCGGGGGGTAGAAATAGCCTAAGCTACTCTATCCCTTTGAGATGTATTTCTTTCTTATCTCAATAAACATACTTGAATTTGACCTTGAACTTGATCTCTTCTCGTCACCTTAATCACCAAAGGTGCCTCACCTCTATGGTTCTTTGTTTCCCACCAGAGAGGTACTTTTATCTCCCCCCCCCTCCTTCTGCAGCCCCGTAAATGATTCTCTTCTATGTCATTTTACATCTTAAGCCTTCGTTGCCTATTCTCGGAGGTGATGTTCCATGTAGGATATCCCAGGCGTCTTAGTCACCCGCCGTCTGGTATGCTGGTCTCCTCAGGCTCCTCCGTGACCTTCGGCCCTACTGTGTATTCCACGATGTCCTCAGCGAGGAAGCTGCGGCTGAATACCAATGTTGGGTGTGTCTAGGGACGGCACGGTTATACAACCTGTGTGTGTAATTATCCAGGTGTAGTTACATGATGAGAGCTGCTCTCGTGGTATCCCTGTGTGTGTGTGTGTGTGTGTGTGTCTGTGTGTGTCTGTGTGTGTCTGTGTGTGTCTGTGTGTCTGTGTGTGTGTCTGTGTGTGTGTCTGTGTGTGTGTCTGTGTGTGTGTCTGTGTGTGTGTCTGTGTGTGTGTCTGTGTGTGTGTCTGTGTGTGTCTGTGTGTGTGTGTGTATTCACCTAGTTGTGTTTGCGGGGGTTGAGCTTTGCTCTTTCGGCCCGCCTCTCAACTGTCAATCAACTGTTGACTAACTACTTTTTAGTTACGTGTGTGTGTGTGTGTGTGTGTGTGTGTGTGTGTGTGTGTGTGTGTGTGTGTGTGTGTGTGTGTGTGTGTGTGTGTGTGTGAGAGAGAGAGTGTCCCCACAGACGCATTCATAAATTTGTACATGATGTTTATTCAAAACGGGAATTTTCTCAAATATAAATTAATATTATAATAAATTAGCATGTTGTGCATATATAGACATAGGTTAGGTTAGGTCAGCTGTTTAGGTTCTGTTGGTGATTTTTTTGTATTTGTAGTACGCGGGTGAAGCATTTACAGCGTTGGGGTTCGAACATAAGTCGTCAGTGAAGCACTTGTTCCGGAAGTGTTCGAACGAAATCAGTTGTGAGTCGTGTGTAAACAGTTTTTCATTCAAACAGGGGGTTTGGCGGGTGCAAGGAATCACTGTTGGATCTTTGTTTGGAGGACGGGCTGCAAATCCTTACACACGACTCAACAGATGACGTCCGAACACTTCCCGAACAAGTGATTCGCCGTTTTGTTCGAACCACAACGCTGTAAATGCTTCACTCACGTACTAAAATTATCTCCAATAGAACCTAAACACTTAACGTAACCAATACTTGAATATGCACAGTATGCTAAACTATAACACTTAATTTATATTTGAGAAAAAATATTATTTTAAATGAACCTCAGGTTAAAA